CTTTGGCTGCATCAGCATAGCTCCATGTGTCTTGTCAGGACAGTCTCTCAGAGAGTGAGTGTTCTGCCCCCAGCGGGCTATTTATCAGCTTAGCAGCTCCAAATGAGAGCATCAGCTGTGACCTGATTGACAGGCTACTTCACTCTTAAGTCTCAAATCGACAGCAGATGATGTAACTACCACAGTGTCTAAAAGGAGTCTTATTTGAGTCCCTAGCCACCGAACTGCAGGTATGACGGGGGTAAGTTGTTGAGCACAGGACTCTTCTGGGAAAGGTCTCAGAGATGGATGGAAACACTGCCAGTGGAAGTACGGACCCAGGTGGTGGCTACATCAGGAAAACAGCTTCACGTTGTGATGTCTTGGGTTAATTCAGGTTTCTGTGATGTGTGTGGCAGGATTTTTTGGCGTACCCTCATCCTCTGTGATCTTGGGGGATCCATTCACCAGTTTGAGCCATGATTGTTTTATTTGTAAGTAAGATACCACCCCCCTCCCCACCAGCGAGTAGATCGCAGCTCTCTGTGGTGACGTCCAGCGTCCAGGCTGTCATCAGCCTGCACGGGAGCAGGTGGCCTCGTAGCCTGCAGAGCAACGAGCGGGTTTGGACCACGGACCGTGGGCTTCCCAGCACCTCCACCGAGCCCAGGGAAGAGAGTGTAAGCCATGTGCCATGGCGGCCTCGAGGATCACCTGGGTGGTGTGGCAGCACCTTGTAAGGTGTGATGACTGCTGTATTTTTGCACACTGTGATCCCCTTGCATGCTGTATGCACCGTATGTCCGTGCATACTTATGTGATCTTAGTTAAATACCGGGTGTTTTGTGACAGTGTGATCTGTGTGAAATAGGTGGATGTGACAACATATCTGAAATGCACAGACACAATGACACCTATGAAAAAAATACAGTAGGACCAGCCACGGTTTCCAAATCTTCCTGAGGCTTTTTAGTGATAACGATTCTCAGGGTCTTCCTGGGCCTGTGGAGCCAGAAACTCTGCAGGGTCGAGTTTCTCCCAAGTATTGGAACGTGCCGACGGTTCTCACAGCATTTGTTGTGTGACTGCCCGCCCTGTGTGTGCGGTTTCAGATGCGATGCTCATGGGCACGCCGCTGTGTGAGACTAGCATCACACCTGAACTGTTCATAGACTGCCTCTCCGGTGACACCGCAGCAGGTGCCGTCACACGGTACAGAGCCAAACACAGTGCTGGCCGAGCCTGGGGATGCGTGTGTGGGGCGGGGAGGGGCGTGATGAGGGTGCTGGTGGCGGGGGTCAGGTCGAGGTCTTCGTTTTCCAACCCAGCGGCAAACCCTCGGATGAAGAGCCATTCTTTGCAGAAAGGACTGTGCTTCCCAGATGGAAATGCATTTCTCTGTGCCCCTTGTTAAGATCGTTGTATGGCTCAGCCAAAACTTCCTGCTGCCGGAAGACGGGAACATTCCGAACGCCCCTTTCCAAGTGTGCTTCACGTCCCTACGGAGCGGCGGCCGGCTGTGTATAAAGACAAAGCCCAGTGGAGAGGTAAGGCTTCCCGTCAGGCTGTGGGACGGTCCTGCGGAGTCCCTGCCGCTCTCGGGCAACCTTGACCACTCTGTGCAGAGGGCAGCCCGACACGTCAGCCATTCGGGAACAGAGGTCCACAGGCCCTCACCTTCACCTGTTTGTATTTCACCTGGGGGAGAATCGAGGGCTGTCTTTTTCTCTCCGCCCCCTCTCCTTCCCTTCAGCCCTCCCTCCTTGAAAGGAAGACCGAGGTGGACACACACCCCACTGCTTGAATGGCTTGTGAGGCCCGAGGACTTACCTGCTAGCCAGCCGCTGGCCATGACGGATGTGGCCTTACTGTGCTGGAGTCCTGGCTCTCGCCCGTGTTGGTCGCCTACCTGTCTGCGTGCTAAGCACCCTGTTGTGTTTGGAGATGCTCTGGATGCTGACCGTGCCGGTTTTGTTGTTGCTGTTCACTGTTTTGCCTCCTGATAGGTCGCCGTGAACACCGACGACATCGATCTGGCTGGCGATATCATCCAGTCAATGGCCTCTTTTTTCGCGATTGAAGACCTCCAGGTCGAAGCAGATTTCCCGGCCTATTTTGAGGAGTTACGAAAGGTGCTGGCTAAGGTAAGGGCAGGCAGGGGAGACATTTGTGAGGATGTGGTAGTCTAGGATTTGAAATACAGCTGTCAGGACAGGAGTAATGCTAAAAACTAGACTCCCCATACATGATAGTTATGTTTTAAAGATTTTTTTCTGCCAATTAAAAAAAAAACATACTTGGATTGGTTCTAGCGAGTCCCCTTGGTGGGCAGATTCCTTCGATCAAGGTTAGCTCTGGACCACTCCGCCTCCTTTGTTGGGTTTAGGGGGGCGCTTCAGGGGGGTGGGGGGGAAGTGGTGGCGTTTCCCCCTGCTCACCTTTCATCTCATCAGAACAGCTCAAATGCAAACTGTAAAAGCCAAATGAGGAACCTGGGCTCCGGTGTCTAGCTGTATCCGCACTTGAATTCCTAAAACAGGACGGTTGTGCTGCTCGGCACCTGCTGCTAAGACAGGGAAGAGCCCAAGCAGGGTGTCACGTTGCGTGCTGAGGGCTCTTTTGGCGAGGAGATGGGAGGGTTGGAGAAGGACCACAGGAGGCCCTCAGAGCCTGGTCAGGAGGGTTTCCCAGTCGCCGAGAAGCCTCCTCAGGCCCTGACTGCCCGTGTCTCCAGGTGGACGAACACCACTCGGTCCATCAGAAGCTCAGCGCTGACATGGCCGACAACTCCAGCCTGATCCGCAGCCTGTTGGTGCGGGCCGAGGACGCTCGTCTGATGAGGGACATGTGAGTATGTGCCAGAGCTAGGGGAGGGACACATTGAAAAGGGGAGCCATGTGGAGTCGTGGCGACTCAGGCACAGCGCGGGGAGGGCGGTACATCCCCGTGATGATGCGCCGCAGAGAGTAGTGATGCCCAAAAAGTGCAGGTCTGCCCTGGGACCCAGGACACGTGGGTATCAGCCAGGGGGCTCGGAAAATACTGCTCATCCAGAACCCCAGCGTGGAAACCATGTGAACCCGCAACAAGTGTCGCGGCTCGACTGTGACACGCACGCGTGTGCCACGGAATAATGCCACGCGGCACTGGGCCCGAGTGAGAGGAGACAGAGTGGACAGGGTGCGTTCGCTCATGTGGTTTGAAGGCCTTTCCAGCCTTCAGGACATTGCACACAGAGAGGGTAGAAAGATGAAGAACAGCAGGGAGGGCTGGAGAGAACTCTTAGGGGCTGAGGGATTGTATGCAGAGAAGACAACTCTTAGGGGCTGAGGGATTGTATGCAGAGAAGACAAATGAGGACTTTCAAAGAGTTTGTGGAAAAATTCCATTACCGTATAGACTTGAGTATAAGCCGAGATTTTCAGCATATTTTTAATGCAGTTTTTGTGGTAAAATTAGGTACCTCGGTTGATATTCGGGTCGGTTTATACTCGAGTATGTACGGTATCTTATATTTCCATTTTCCCATAAACTTTTCTAAGCCCCGCTGATAGGGAAACTGTTCTCGTTTCTTCACTTGGTTAGCCCCGACTTGCTCTCTGGATTTTTATGAATGTGTATTTTAAATACAGGAATGAGAGGCAGCAGAGTGCAAATCTAGCTTCCTGTTGTCTTGGCTGCAAAGTCCATCTTGGGGATAAAGTGTGCCAACCCGGGGCTCAGATAGCAGAGCACGCTTTGGGAAGGATGGTAGCCACCTATGTGTACATGTGCTTGATACAATGAGTGCATGGGTTGTGATAAGAGCTCCCTATACAATGCTTTATTTGAAAAACAAACCAAGCGGACCGAGGTGAGTCTGTCGAGAGTGAATTGACCAGGGATTACCGAGGTCAGGGCGGGACGTTGAGAGCTCCTTGCGTCAGTTCAAGCCGGCTTCCTGCCTGTCCCAAGTGTTCTATGGTTGCTTCCCGTAGCTCCGGGACCCGCCTTGTCAGGGTTAAGCTTACATACTGCCCTTTCCTTTTGGCAGGTGTAAACAAGCTCTTTGTTCCATATAATAATGTCTTGTACAGGACAGTCATATGAGCTTATTTGTCCGTGTTGATTTTATAACCCGCGAGTGTACTGAATTCTCTGATTGTCTCCAGGTGAGCACTCGTCACCTGTAAGCTGAGATAAACGCACACATGCTTCCAGTTCTTCTGTTTGCTTCCAGCTATCTTCTCAGAAGTACCTACTGTTTTTGCTTTGGGGCCAGCGTTATCTCCAGGCCTCTGGGGCTCATTCTCTCTCTTCCTCTGTCTCCCTCTCCGTCCCCCTCTGTGTACTGCCAAAAGGGTGTCGTTAGCTCTGGGCACTCAACTCTCCAGAATTGAAGGATGAAGACCCGATCCAAAACACCACCGCCGCCCAGCCCATTCCGACTCACAGTAACCTTGTAGGACAGACGAGAACTGCCCCCTGCATGGACGCAGACGGCCCCATCTTCCGCCCACAGAGAGGCTAGTGGGTTTGAACTGCGGATGCCTGCTTAGCAGGCGAGCACTTAAAACACTTGTGGTCAAGTGACCTCTAAGCTCTCAATTCCATCTCTCCCCTGAATTCTTTATATTTATTTCAGCAGTTCTCAGATGTATATAGTTCTTATTTTTTTTAAGTCACGTTAATTGATGCTTCTGGAAATGTACAGAAAAGATCCTCTTAAAATGGACAGTTTAAAATAGTTCTGTGAATTCTGAGAGGCAGAACATTCCCACCACCCTGTTTCTCTGTAGTCGGTGCCTTCCCCTCAGCCCAGTCCTTGGCCAGCCACTGCTCTGATTTCTCTCTCGGTAGCTCTCCCTTTTTCAAAATGTCGTGTAGCTGGAATCCTATAAAGTAGGTGGTGAGCCTGAGGGCCCTCACTCCCTGTAACGGCCTCTCTCGGCAGCAGTCTGCCCTTGGCCTTGTGGAGTGGGAGCCCAGGGTATGGATACGCTACCGTGTATTTGACCCTGCATGATTTGATGGGCATGTGGGTGACTGTGCGTCCAGGCTGTTGCACACATCTGGTTATGTGCTGGGCTGCAGTCAGAACCACCAGCAGCTCCTCAGGGAGAACGGCGGGGCTTCTGCTCCCACCTACAGAGAGTCTCGAACCCCCAGGGTCGCCCCGAGCCAGCGTGGACGCCTGGGCGCGAGGCTTCGCATCCACATCCAGGTTCTTGGCGGGACATGTTTCCTTTTGTCGGACAAAAATGCCTTCTTTTTTTATATATACTAAGTTTCTTTTCTTACCTTTTATTTCCCCCCGTGTTATTGGGAGCTCTTACAGATATTATAACGCTCCATAGTTCAGTTAGATCAAGCACATTGTGCGGCTGCTGTAACCATTGTCTTCAGGACATGTTCTTCTTCTTGCACTCTTTGGTTTCAGCTCCCCTTGATCCCTTCCCTTCCCACCCTACCTCTAGAAGCCTTGTTATTCAATATTAGTATCTCCCACTTTGTTTCACCGTATCTTACACCATCCAGTATGCCCGTTCACCTACCAGTCTGTTATTTGTTCCCTTTGGGGGGGGGTAGATAGTCATCGTTGCTGTCAGTCCCCTCCCTCCCTTCTTTTTGTGCCCACAGGGAATCATTACCCCAGTGTGATTTCTGTAGGGTTTATCTCTTGGATGCCATGCATCGGAGAGTCTGAGTGGTGCGCATGAACACATGCGGGTCTAATAGGACGGGTGAGGGAAAACTAAGCCGTCGCAGGAAGGGAGGAAATGGTGCAGAGCTAGAGGATGGCTCCGTGTTTCGACAGTGCTGTGCTGCGACTGGATCTGTCAGCCTTTCGCGGGGCCCTTCTGTGCGTGACTGTCCGTTGTCTCGCGGGTGGTTGGGGGGTCTCCACTGTGCCTAGAAAAACGCCTTCTAACCGGTTGCAGAGGAAACGCCTGTGCCCTCTTGTCCTCCCAGCAGTGAAACATGTGAGCTGCGGGTGCTCCACGCCCTGCCAGCAGTTGGCATTATTACCTTTCACACTTTAGCTCTTTGATGGTAGGAGTCCATCTGTATTTTAAATTGAGTGCCATTGTGTTTAAAACGTACAGGACGGGGGGTGGTTCTTCTCTGTCCTATCAGCTCACTGTGCGTCAGAACCAACCCTAAAAACAAAACAAAAACAGAGAGGTGAATCTGTTCGTGGTTTTAAAATAGTTCATTAAATGTAGTTGTGTGTGTGTGTGTGTGTGTGTTTAATGTAATTTATTTATTAAAGACAAATGAAACGAGCCCACTGCCACCTCGTCAATAAAATGTAGGTCGTTTTATAAGTAGCAGTCTGACCTTGGAGCAAACTCGCTGTTCCCTCCCCACGGGGGAAGGTAGGCACTTAGCCATTCGTGATGCCTGAGCCCAACAGAACCGTGAGCCAGTAGCCAGTGAAGGTCACTTCTTTTCCTTTTACGTGGGAGAAATGAAATAGTGTGTGGGAAACACCTCCATGTTTCCTAAGCAAACTTTAGCAGGTACTGTGTTTTAAGGAAAGTACAGCTGAAAATGGTGTCATCTTGCTAGGTCTAAGGTATGTGAGGTTTTCCTTGTACGGTCAGTCTGCCTTCCTGAGGTAGAGCACTGGTCTGTGTCTCCTGGTTTGCACAGGAAAGCAATGAAGAATCGCTACATGGAACTCTACGACCTTAATAAGGATTTGCTAAACGGATACAAGATTCGCTGTAACAATCACACAGAGCTGCTGGGAAACCTCAGGGCCGTGAACCAGGCCATACAGCGAGCAGGCCGTCTGCGTGGTGAGTGCTTGCCCAGCCTGTGGAGCTGTCCCCGGAGAATCCCGGTGGTCCCTGGGGAGTGCACATCAGGCCCGGAGAAGTGCCCTGTACCATTCCAGGTGCACCAGTCACCTGGGCAGGGAGCCTCCTGTTTGGTTCATTGAGTCTCGGCATCAAAGGGAAAGAAAACCTCCAGGCCCCCTCTTTGCTCGTCTTGCTGCCCTCGAAAGAAAACCCCGGTGACAGACCCACGAGCAAACGGAAGAGCCTGGGCGTGTCTGCAGCTGTGCTTCCTAGTAGAAGTTAGAGCAAGAGCAGGATGAACACACAAACGGGAGTCTGGCTAGAAAGAGAGCAGATTCAGTTGTGTGGGGTCAGCGATTCATCCGGCTGCCCCTCTGCTAGTGGATGTGCACTTTGCGCCTGTTCTGTCAGATGACTCTCAGTGCCTATGTTTGAGGTGAGCTCTGGCTGTGGTCTGATAAAGTCCCCCACAAAGTTTGTAGCTTGAGAACGCGGTGAGATGGATCGGT